GGAGTAGCGGCCATTGGTTTTAGCAGTTAGTAGATCATTAGTGAGTTTTAGTAGGGCAGTTTCAGTGGAGTGTAGAGAGCGAAAGCCAGACTGTAAAGGGTCAAGAAGGTTGTTGTCGGTGAGGTGGGAGCTCAGGCGATTGTAGACTAAGCGTTCTAGGATTTTAGAGGTAAATTGCAGCATGGAGATGGGTCTTAAGTTGTTCAGATTGGTGGGGTCCAGCGAGGACTTTTTAAGTATGGGAGTGATCTGTACATGCTTTAGAGGGGAAGGGAAAGCGCCAGTAGAGAGGGAGAGATTAAAGATGTGAGTGAGGGAGCATAGGTTTTATTTAAACTCTCCTACATAATTTGTACCAATGTATTTGCAGCCATTTGTTCCCCCCCTTCACACAACACACAGGAACAGAGCTGAGGCTGTCAATCAGCTGGAGCTCCCTCCCGTCACCATTTTTCTCTTGGTGTCAGAAAAACTTCTCAGAAGTGACTCTTGCTGAAATAAGATCAGTGAGAAGAGTTCTGAGAGCTGATTGGAGTGAAGGGACACACCCCCCTCCACAGAGCTGAGACAGTCAATCAAAGGCTGTGCCCTCCCCGTCACCATTTTTCTCTTTGTGTCAGGAAAACTCAGTAGTGACTCATGCAGATAGAGAAATGAGGCAGCAGAGAGAAATGACACTTAGTGCTTAGAAGAAAGGCAAGCAAGCACTATAGAAATATGTGCTTTGTTCAGATTTCATGTCTGAGGTTTACAATCACTAAGTATACTGATAAAGTAAGTAAACAGGGCTTGCTCTAAAGCAGGGGTATTGAATTAAAATTCAAGGAGGTCCAGTCACTAAAAATTTTTTCTGGCCGAGGTTTGAATACAGTGTGCTTTTCAGTGTGCCCCCTTACATTAGGTGTCCCCATCATCAGAGTGCCCCTTTACATCAGGTATCCCCATCACAGACCAGACACGATTTCTCCTGCGCTCTAGGACCCAGGCGGGTGGCAAATGGATGGAACCAGAACTGGAAAAAGCAACCACCAGTGCATAAAAGGTTGTGCAGCTCCAAACAAGGCTGGGGAAGCCCGACCAACACTGCAAAGCGAAACAAAAACGAGAAGCGCACCAACCTTGCGCATTACCTCAGTAACCAAAATCTATTTATTATTCTTAGTAAGCACTGTGGATGAATTGCCCATTTTTTATTATTATTTTTATTATTATAATTATTTTTAGATATCTTATATACTATATTCTAAATATTAATTATTGATTGTTTATATAACCATTAGTTTTTCTCTCTCTTATATGTATCTCACCATCAGTATTTTTATTGTCAGAAATTTAAGCATTTAAATCTACATAAATCTATATTTTTTTTTTTTATCGGTTTCCTGATGGCTTGACAACTAGATATTTTACTTTGTTGACACCTTGGCCCCTCCTCCCAGCCTGAGACTGCCCAACCCAGAGGGGAGGGCCAAATTTCAGTCCTTGGGCATAAATGGGAGTGAACACTCTCAGTCCAGTCAGCTCTGATGAAGAAGGTATGGCCTTCGAAACGCGTCAGCTGTACTGAATGTCTACCCCCATGATGGGATTCGCGCTGGCTCCTTATCTTTGAAGTTCCTTTGAGGACTTACATGCCTGATTTTATTCGCTGTTTGTGAGTACCTTTTTCTAATTAATAAATTTTGCTTACGGAGGTAATGCGCAAGGTTGGTGAGCTCCTTGTTTTTGTTTCACTTTGCAATCCCCATCACATTGCCACCTTACATCAGGTATTCCCGTCAGAGTGCCCCCTTACACTCAAAGTACCCCTTTACATCATATTCTCCATCAGAGTGCCCCTTTCAACAGTATGTGCCCATTAGTGCCTCAACATAAAATGTGCCCATCAGAGTGCCCCTTACCAATAAATGTGCCCATCAGAGTGCCCCTTAATATAAATAAATGTGCTCATCAGAGTGCCCCTTATAAATAAATGTGCTCATCAGAGTGCCCCTTACCAATAAATGTGCCCATCAGAGTGCCCCTTACCATAAAATAAGGGGCACTCTGATGAGCACATTTATTTATATTAAGGGGCACTCTGATGAGCACATTTATTTATATTAAGGGGCACTCTGATGAGCACATTTATATTAAGGGGCACTCTGATGAGCACATTTATTTATATTAAGGGGCACTCTGATGAGCACATTTATTTATATTAAGGGGCACTCTGATGAGCACATTTATTTATATTAAGGGGCACTCTGATGAGCACATTTATTTATATTAAGGGGCACTCTGATGAGCACATTTATTTATATTAAGGGGCACTCTGATGAGCACATTTATTTATATTAAGGGGCACTCTGATGAGCACATTTATTTATATTAAGGGGCACTCTGATGAGCACATTTATTTATATTAAGGGGCACTCTGATGGATACATTTTATGTTAAAAGGCACTCTGATGGGCACATTCTATGTTGTGCCCATCATAGTGCCCCTTAACATAAAATGTGCCCATCAGAGAGCTCCTGTAAGACTACACCCTACCTTGAGGGCAGACAGGAGCTGTGTCGGGATCCTTGCAGAAGGATGCATGTGTACAGGCAGGGAGCTGGAGCCGGACAGGGCCGTCTTTAATATTGATTGGACCCTGGGTAGCGGTTTTCTTGGCCCCCCTCTCCCCCACATTACAATTCTCTCCACCTGCTCTGAGACATACAATAAATAGCTGCCAGACTCAAAATCAGTTTACTGCAGCAGATCAGGCAGAGATTGTGATTGGCTGCCAGAGGTTACAGCACACATTATGGCTCACTAGTTGCTAGGGGTTTCAGCACATTTCTGCTTGTCAATGGTTGCTAGAGGTTATTGCACATCTTTACCACTCACTGATTGGTTACTGTTCATCATTATCACTTACTTATTGGTTACTGGAGGTTAACGTGACACTTTCTCTATGGAGGGGCCCTGGACTGGAGATTGCAGTCTCTCTATGGAGGGGTCCCCTGGACTAAAGGTAACAATCTCTCTATGGAGGGGCCTCCAGAATGGAGGAGGCAATCTCTCTATGGAGGGGCCTCCAGAATGGAGGAGGCAATCTCTCTATGGAGGGGCCTCCAGAATGGAGGAGGCAATCTCTCTATGGAGGGGCCTCCAGAATGGAGGAGGCAATCTCTCTAAGGAGGGGCCTCCAGAATGGAGGAGGCAATCTCTCTATGGAGGCTCTCCAGAAAGGAGGAAGCAATCTCTCTATGGAGGCTCTCCAGAATGGAGGAGGCAATCTCTCTATGGAGGCTCTCCAGAATGGAGGAGGCAATCTCTCTATGGAGGCTCTCCAGAATGGAGGAGGCAATCTTTCTATGGAGGCTCTCCACTCTGAAAGACTGCTATCTCCAGTCAAGGGGCCCCTCAGTAGGGAGACTGCTACCTCCAGTTCAGGGGCTTGTTTTTATAGGGTGACATTACAATGGAAGCCACTGGGATAGTAAATCAGCAGTTAAGTGATATTAGTGCAGGAACACGTGCCCCCTCCCGCATTGTGGGTGTTAAGGTCCCACCCTTGTGTGCTCTGCATGTGATCTCACCTGAGCTACGTTGAGTGCGGTCTGGCTCGCCCCTGCTCCTCCTCCACAGCAGGCGGGTGCCAGGCAGACCTGTCAGTGTGGCACAGGGCAGCATGGACGCTTTCCATGTGGTGAAAGGGACGGACTTGTCACAGTGTGGCAGGTGCTAGTCAGACCTATCAGTGAGGCACAGGATGGCCATGGAGCTGGAGAGTCAGTAAAAATGGCGGGGCGCACATGTGATGTCATGTTGCTGTGATGAATGCCCTGCTCAGTGGCAGATCTGTCATGGCGGGCTGGTGGTCCAGGTGGCAGCGCTGCTAGGGCCATTTGCGGACCATGATCAGCCATTTAGTGATCGCTGCTCTAAATGATAAGTTCAGCTTTTGCACAACAGTAATAAATGCACACTCTTTTGCAGGTGAGAAAATGTGCATTTATTATATGTATCTGAAGGAGCCTGTAAAATATTGCACCAGCGATCAGCAGGTCGCTGGTGAAACGCAAGTCTCCTGCAGACCTGTCAGTATATCTGCTTGCCTTTACGGGATCTACGGCCAAGCAGATATACTGACACGAAGATTCAATGAACGAACATGGCACTCCATGTAAGATGTGAGACTAGCAGGTGAAAAAAAACGGCAGATCGTTCGTCCCATATTCTCATCGCGTGTACTGGGCATTAATCTAAAGAAAATTGGGCACAAAATTGTATAGTGTATGGCCAGCCTTAGTAACTCAGCCTCATTATGGGAGTAATTTACTAAAACTGGTGCAGCTTGGCATAGTAACCAATCAGCTTCTAGCTTCAGCTTGTTCAGTTAAGCTTTGGGAATGAAAGCTAGAAGCTGATTGGTCGTCATGCTCAGCTGCTCCAATCTTAGTGAATCCCCCTCATTACTGTGTGTACCAGAAATATACTTCTAGATTGTAAGCTCGAAAGAGCAGGGCCCTCGATCCCCTCATGTTTTGCATTGTATTGGTATTGTTCTGTCACATGTTCTGTCCCCCTTGTAATGTACAGCGCTGAGTGAACTATTGGCGCTTTATAAATACTGTATAATAATAATAATAATAATATACAGGAAAATAAATGCCATGGAGGCTTTTTAGGTTCAGCAAGCACAGAGTGACCTGACACACACATAGGAATTAAACCAGGACTGTAGTCATATTATACACCCAGATGGGCACTGTCATACACAGACTGAGGAGCCCGATCTGCACTGACAGCTACTAATGAATGAATCGGTTAGAGGATCCCATGGAAGCCGTATGACAGCAGAGCAGCACAGACACAACATCCAGGGATCAGCACAGGACGGGGAGAACAATGACACCAGCAGCCTGCCACTGTAACAGGAGGTCAGCGGGTGGCCCAGGGAGTGCCAGGCACATAGCATGCTCACAAGGGAACTAAGCGGAGGAAGCCAGCTATTGTCACCAACCTCAAACACCACTTCTTCATCAAACTCCGCAGTCATTGCTGTCCGCCATGCCACCCTCAGCGGCACTCTGGGAAATAGAGTCTGCAGCCGGTGACGTCACCGGCAGTGCTGCTGAATGTGACTGGAAGACAGGACTACATCTCCCAGAGATCTCCGCGTCCGCGGTGTCCAGGCCGAGAACAGCGGGAGAGGGATCTGTGATGAGGGCAGTGCTGGGATCAGGAGAGGAGTACACGGATGTGTGTACTGAGCACAAATGATGGACCTATGGAAATAATAGCAGGATCAATGTAGATGGCAGCTCTTCCTGGTGTTGAAGCCTCAGTTTAGAAAAAATACAAAATCAGCACAAGGGACTGTACTGACAGACAAGGTGTAGTGTCCCTTGTGCTACTTTCTCCTGGTTTAGTGATCATCTTCTCTCACCCCCCAACTGCCTGCTGTAATCTGGGGATTAAAGGAGCTGAGACAGGCAAGAGTGCCCAACTATGTCCGTCCTTTCCACCCACCTCCTCCATTCATAGTAGTTGTACTACAGCTTCTATGAATGAAAAGCGCTCTTATGAATGGAGGATGGGTGGATGAATGAAAAGGCTACCTCCTCCTTTCAAAGTAGCCATACTACAGTTTCTATAAATGAAAAGAGCTCTGTGAATGGAAGATGGGAGGCAATGAAATGTCTACCTCCTCCATTCATAGTAGCTGTACTACAGTTTGTATAAATGAAAAGCGCTCTGAATGGAGGATGAATTAAATGTCTACCTCCTCCATTCATAAAAGCTATGCTACAGCTTCTATGAATGAAAAGAGCTCTATGAATAGAGGACAGACAGATGAATGAAAAGTCTACCTCCTCCATTCATAGTACCTATACTACAGTTTCTATAAATGAAAAGAGCTCTATGAATGGAGGATGGGAGGATGAAAGAAATGTCTACCTCCTTCATTCAGAGTAGCTGTACTACAGTTACAAACAGATGAATGAAAAGTCAACCTGTTTAATTCGGGTACCCGCTTCCCCACCCCCCTTCGCTCCCCAAAGGTCCGCAGTCTCTGGTCATCTCCTGTACTGTGTCCGCACTCTCTGGTCATCTCCTGTACCGTGTCCGCAGTCTCTGGTCATCTCCCGTACCGTGTCCGCAGTCTCTGGTCATCTCCCGTACCGTGTCCGCAGTCTCTGGTCATCTCCCGTACCGTGTCCGCAGTCTCTGGTCATCTCCCGTACCGTGTCCGCAGTCTCTGGTCATCTCCCGTACCGTGTCCGCAGTCTCTGGTCATCTCCCGTACCGTGTCCGCAGTCTCTGGTCATCTCCCGTACCGTGTCCGCAGTCTCTGGTCATCTCCCGTACCGTGTCCGCAGTCTCTGGTCATCTCCCGTACCGTGTCCGCAGTCTCTGGTCATCTCCCGTACCGTGTCCGCAGTCTCTGGTCATCTCCCGTACCGTGTCCGCAGTCTCTGGTCATCTCCCGTACCGTGTCCGCAGTCTCTGGTCATCTCCCGTACCGTGTCCGCAGTCTCTGGTCATCTCCCGTACCGTGTCCGCAGTCTCTGGTCATCTCCCGTACCGTGTCCGCAGTCTCTGGTCATCTCCCGTACCGTGTCCGCAGTCTCTGGTCATCTCCCGTACCGTGTCCGCAGTCTCTGGTCATCTCCCGTACCGTGTCCGCAGTCTCTGGTCATCTCCCGTACCGTGTCCGCAGTCTCTGGTCATCTCCCGTACCGTGTCCGCAGTCTCTGGTCATCTCCCGTACCGTGTCCGCAGTCTCTGGTCATCTCCCGTACCGTGTCCGCAGTCTCTGGTCATCTCCCGTACCGTGTCCGCAGTCTCTGGTCATCTCCCGTACCGTGTCCGCAGTCTCTGGTCATCTCCCGTACCGTGTCCGCAGTCTCTGGTCATCTCCCGTACCGTGCAGTCTCTGGTCATCTCCCGTACCGTGTCCGCAGTCTCTGGTCATCTCCCGTACCGTGTCCGCAGTCTCTGGTCATCTCCCGTACCGTGTCCGCAGTCTCTGGTCATCTCCTGTACCGTGTCCGCAGTCTCTGGTCATCTCCCGTACCGTGTCCGCAGTCTCTGGTCATCTCCTGTACCGTGTCCGCAGTCTCTGGTCATCTCCTGTACCATGTCTGCGGTCTCTGGTCATCTCCTGTACTATGTTTGCAGTACATTGGTTTAGAATATTTTTTTCTTGTTTTTCTCCTCTAAAACCTAGGTGCGTCTTATGGTCAGGTGCGTCTTATGGAGCGAAAAATAGGGTAACTGCTGACCCCACCCAATGACAGAGGGGAATATTCAGGTGAAAGGTCACACTCATTGGCCAGCTGTTTTCCCACCAAAAAATTGAGCTGGCTGAAGACCTGCTTGAGGTAAATCTTCCTATAACACAAAGCAACCAGCAAAGCAGCCCCAGAGAGACATGTACTTAAAGTAGTAAGTCTAAAGCTACAACATGTTTTACCTTAATGCATTCCCTGCATTAAAGTGTTACAAAACCCAGGACCCTGCATTCACTATATCTGGTCTCCCACAGTACACAGAGCATGGAAATGCAATTATTTTAGTGAATATAAACTGCTAAATACCTTTTCTCCTCAGCAGTATATAACAGTCTTGTGACTTCTAGCAGAGTTCAGCACAGCACTGGTTAAAGCTTGTAGAAGGAGTTTTCTTTCTGCTCTAGGAGGATGCAGAACCGCTGATCAGTGTTATTCTGAAAGCAGTGGGAGCCGCTGTCAGAATGTCCTAGTCGGTGGGGATTCCTCCATCCACATCACATTTTTTTTTTTGTTCAGCCCACTGATTAACCACTTGCCAACTGCGCTATAGCCAAACAGCGCGGTTGTCCAGTTCAGGGAGGGCGTCATATGACATCCTCCCAGAACGTGCCCTCCTGCGCGCACCCAGCAATCTCCATGATTGCCGTGCCTACGGACACAGCTGATCATATGATGTTGTAAAAGGCCAATTACAGCAGCCTTTTACCATGTGATCAGCTGTGTCCAATGACACAGCAGATCACTGGTAAATGCAGTTGCCAGTTATCAAGGGCACTTTCCTCTCGCTGTCACAGTATAAGGAAAGTACTGCTAATAACCGGTTATTGTCAGAGGACGGATCGGCAGTAGTAATCAGTGCCCAGCAGTGCCGCCCACCTGTGCCCATCAGTGCCACCCACCAGTGTCCATCAGTGCCACCCACCAGTGCCCAGCAGTGCTGCCAGTCACTGCCCAGCAGTGCCAGCAGTCAGTGCCACCCATCAGTGCCGCCTATCAGTGCCCATCAGTGCAGCTTCATCAACGCACATCAGTGAAGGAGAAAAATTACCTGTTTGCAAAATTTTATAATAGAAACAAAGAAAAACTTCTTTTTTTTTCAAATTTTTTTCTATTTCTTGTTTATAGCTCAAAAAATAAAACACCCAGTGGCGATTACATACCACCAAAAGAAAGCTTTATTTGTGTGAAAAAAATGATAAAAAAATTCATATGGGTACAGTGTTGTATGACCGCACAATTGTCATTCAAAATGTGAGAGCGCTGAAAGCTGAAAATTGGCCTGGGCAGGAAGGGGGTATAAGTGCCTGGTAGGCAAGTGGTTAAACTTAAACATACCTCCCAAAACTTGACTGGAATACTCCCAGGACATTGCTAGGATGTTGCTAAGTGAGGCCTATTCATTACTGCTCACCCCCACCATGGCAAGAGCTTTTTCTCTGATTCAAACTACCTCACATGCTCTTTCTCTTCCCTGATGCAGTAACTCTGAGCTCAGCTTTCGACAGCTCACTCCTGTGATGGAGGAGGTGAGCAGTAATAACTAGGCCTCACTTAGCAATGCCCTGGGGATATTCCAACATACCTCCCAACTTTTTGAGATGGGAACAAGAGACACCTATTAGCAAATGTATGTAGGCATAGGACACCCCCCCGATACTCCCTATGAAAGGAGAGATATACAAAAAAAGGTTAGTTAAACCCACAAGTGCTTTTTTTTTTTTTACCACTACTATTATTTATACAGGTTTTTGAATATTACAAATGCAGCAATTTAGAAACTGTATGAAAAGTTTAGCACTGGGCAGTGGCATCCCGAGGCAGGTGCGGGGGGTGACACCTACCACACGGGGTGACACCAGACCCGCTCCACAAAAAAGTAAGTTGTAAACCAAGCTGACGATCCCCGCAGGATGGATCCGATCTATCCTGCGGGGATCGTCGGCTTTCTTTACAACTTACCTTTTCGTGGAGCGGTTTCGGTGTCACCCCATATAGGTTGCATGCCGACGATCCCCGCAGGATGGATCGGATCTGCGGATTGGGGAGCATAATGGATCGGACTCCGATCCATTATGCTCAGTCCGCAGATCCGAACCATCCTGCGGGGATCGTCGGCATGCAACCTATATGGGGTGACATCGTGGTATTTTGTGCAAGAATTTGATCATATTTCGACCAAGCAGATTGCAAGATGGAAACCGAAATGTGATTGATAAATTATATAGTATCTTCCAAGTTTCTATTGATTGAAATCCACTTTCCTGTGTGTGTCATATTAATTAAATGAATTGTTGACTATGGTTTGATTATTCATATCAGGAGATTGGTTGGGAAAAAAATCAATAATTTATCAAAGAGTGCATGGCCACCATTAGTTTTTCTCTGCTGATGGATATATGGTGCTGGCTGCCTGTTCTGCATTCCTTTATCTAATTCCTGGGTACTTTTAGCTTAGCTTCCACTTAAGATGGAGAATAGAAGCAGGAGAACTGTACCTATGTACCCCCTACCTCTGTGGGGGGGAGGGGCACAGTATACCTGGACAGCCATATACCGGTATTGTAATGGGAGTAACAAGAAAGATGTTGGTTGGGAAGAAATCTCTTTGTCCAAGACTTCTTGTTTATATAAATCTGGTAAGGTGCATGGATTGAGAGGTGGTGGATCACTAGATTGTTTCCAATAGCGGTGGTCACTTATTGGGAAGATAAGGAGCACAGTGTGGCACTAACAATTGGTTAATAGTATTACACTATACACAAATATTTTTTGGAGGGCACGGCTA